TATGGTCGAAGGCAACTTCATCCATATCCAATCTATTCCATATCCTTGAAGCAAACTCCTCCGCCAGCTTATCTATAAACAGCGCAATCGCTGATTTATTGGTTAACTTCTGGGGCATCAACTTCTGTACTTCGACCTGTAATGGTCGGACCAATTCCAATAGCTTATCCTGATCATCTAGCTCAATTCCATGTTTTCCGAACTTCGCCAAAATCTTGTTCAACATTGCTATAGAACCTTCTTTCGAATCTCTAACAGAGGGGTAATGGTTGATTACATCCTTTAGAAACTCTTCGTGGCTTCCTTTGGCGAAGGACGCCAGTCCCATCCACTGCTCCCGTGCTTTGGAGTCGGCATACTGGACCAATTTTTTATTTTTATCGGCTTGCACCGTGTTTGCCACCTCTAATAATCTTGTCATATGATCCAGGAATTCCCGAAGGTCCTCTGGACAGTCTGACTTGAATCGAGGCGCATTTTTCTCCCATGGCTCAGGTACTTTGACATCGGTCATTTGTACTGAGTTCTGGTGTTTAAATGGAAAGGGGGGTTTTATGATTCTGGCGAACTGCGAGAGCTCAACGTAACAAGGGGAGTGTTTTGGGTTTGGCGGAGATTACTCTCCGAATTGTGGCGGACAAAGTTTGTTCAACTCGATGTGCCTGTGGTGCTTGCGCCAGTAGGTTTCTGGCCTATGTGACACAGCGCTCCGGGGTCCTGGAGCTAGGGCTCAACGGGATAAACTTTTATATCTTGCTCTAGAAGAGCGGGGGGAGCCAAATGTGTTGTTCAACGCGTCCAAGGTATTCCCAGCAAAACAATGCCTCCTTTTGAAACTGTCACCCCTCGCGGTGGGCTCCAGATGAAACGGTGCAGTGGCGTGCAGCCGTGAAATCTAATGCTAAATGAGTAAGACCTCAGTCTTAACTCAACCCAACACCAAACTCCAACAACTAACAACAACCAACTCCTGCTTTATCGTATTTATGTTCGAGGGGGTAGGTCAGGCGTATCGACCGTCAATTTCAATAGTGTGACACTGGTTTGCTTTGGAAAGGTCCTCAGAAGGGCTTTCAACAGGTTTAACAGCCTTTCGGCAACAGGTGTAGATATTCTACTAGTGGTGCACAAAACCGCAATTAAATTGGGATTTTGGCGAAGGACAGCACCGCTGGGTAGCTGACTGATTTTACAAGTGGCGGAGGGGCAACTCAAGACGTTCCGTACGCCAGGAGATGGTTCCGCCAAATGGTAAGGTTTTTCCTGGAGCTCAAGATAATTCCTTTGTGTGTGGCGCGACTACAGAGTAGTGGCGCAAGCTGAATGGCGTGGGTTCCGATGGCGCAGAGCAACTCAATGACGTTCCGTACGCCACCAGCTGGTTTCCACCACACAGAGACCCAAACAGTAACGGCTTTTATGGGAGGTCGTGGTCCCGACCTCAGTGTTTTGAATCAACCACGATTGTCAATGAACAGCGCGGCTATGAATAGCTCTGCAACTGAACAAGATGGATGCCGATGGCGCAGAGCAACTCAAGGACGTTCCGTACGCCGATAGTTGGTTTCCGCCACACAGCAACCCCGATAGGAATGGACTTTGGCGTATGAACAGCGCGGCTACAAATAGCTTTGCGACTGAACAAAGTGGCGGGGGCCGAAGACGGAGGGACAACTCAGGCTTACGCCAAGGGAGTGTGTGCGTCAAACGGGATAAGGACCAGAGGCCTTATAAGCTGCTAAGAGCTAGGTGCCATTAAGGGGGGAGTTATTCACTGTCTAACTACTAATTTACATGCGGCTTTTATACTATGAGAGGGATTGATCCCAACTAACTAAGAGAATGATAAGCGGTCTTTACAAATGATGAACTGATCTGAAGCGAGATATATCCTGGTAGTTGGGCAGACTTAGAGGTGTCTGCCTGGGTATTATTTGATGGTGTGGCCGCCAATCACCTGCAAGTTCTGTTTAAGCCACCTCTGCTTACAGTCTCCTCGCGTAGACTCGGTTAAGAGTGTCCGCAGTCCTCCGCAGTCTGATTAGTTGATGGGCTGACTGAGCCTTTTATTATCTCTTGGCACCCAAGTTCAGTGACCACCAGCTGCTTTTGGATGAAGTCATGTGATTGGTTTAGGGCCGGTCTATTACAGGTGGCGTAGCCTCTGCGCCAAGTTCAAGTGGCGTAGCTTCTCCGCCAAGTTTTAAGTGATGGCGTGCTCGCACATTATATCTTTTTACGGCTTTGGCGTGACTTCATTTGGCGTAACTTCGGACTGGCGCAGACTTGAGCATTGTCATGTGACATAACTGGTTCATTTCTCCCCTCCGCCATTATTCCATTGGCGGGCACATCTTTTGAGTTCAGCTCGCAAGCCGAATACTATTATTCTGGTGGCACATGTAGCACTTTGTAGGTTCCAAATCAAATAGCTTTCTTGTTATCCTTCCAATGTCCCTTGGTTGCCTCGTGCCCATATTGACATCGAGCTTACTGCACAAAAGTACAGCTTGCCGGATGAGTCCTATGGCTAGCCAGTGGGGTTGAGTCCGAGTCGCAATCTCTAGCTTTGTATGAAAGCCGCAATGGCATCCTCGGTCTCCTTGGTTTATTACTAGTTTGCAGCACTGCTAACGGCTTTTTAGTGCTCAGTTCCGGGAATGTAACTAGCACCCTGTGTGTCTTACGCCTCCCTGCCATAAGGCTGGAAACATGCAAAAGCAGTAATTTCAGGGGTGCACGGATGCACACCCTATCACCGGAACGACTGCGGTGTAGATCTTCACACAAGCCTCCACGAATCGCTCGACTGATATATTCATGTTTTCAAAAATCTTCATCAGCGCGTTGTTCGTTCGAATTGAGGTTTCTGTAAGTGAAAGTCAGCCTAGCTTATATGAAGTTGGTATATTACACGAACCAACTATCAACCCTGGGGACAACAGCTCTAAATCTGTGTCCCGCGTCACTGGTTCAGTACCGGCGACTAGTTTACCTTCATTGTGCTGAGAACCCTCGTTGCAAAAGGGTTGCGCACTATCCACAGGGCTTGTTTGTGTCGCGCATTGAGGCTTGCTCGGATCTGAGTAGATAGGTCAGAGACACCTCAAATTTCATCGGCTGAATTACCTTCAGACTCTGAGCCCTCAGTTGCCGGAATGATTTCATCCGTGCCTTCTGGCTTTCTCGACTCTGTGTCAGTGTAAATGGGTCAGTGAGATACAGTTGTTTTGCGACTACATTACCTTCAGTCTCCTGGGAATCCGCAGTGACACACTCCGCGGTAGGCACTATTGTGTCATCTGTGCCTTCAGGCTTGCTCGAGTCTTTCTGAACAAATGGGGGAGGGAATGCCAAATTCAATCGTGTAGATTACCTTCAATGCTCCGCAGATGAATATTAGTCAACTCCATTAACCGGTTCAGGTTATCCGAGAAGGTTTTCAGGTTCTCGCTGAATGACCCATCCGTGGAGTCCGCGTCCGAACTTTCATCCATCCCAATGATCTGTTTGAAATTCTGGACATATTTTGAATGGGTCTGTTTCAAGGCATCCTCGACCTCCTCGATTGAAGAATACGAGTACCCTAAGAGCCCATCTCTAATGCTATTGAAAAGAGGCAACTCTTCACGTTGGATGTGATATTCGCGCCAGGTGGTTTCGACTGCTTGGGGTTCCATTTCGTGTGATGGAAAACCTCTCGCGCAGCAGACTACTTATACGGCGAGGAACAATTGCAATCACCCGAAATAAATCTCTTGTGCTCATAGAACAAGGATGGCCACAGCACTTGATCCCAAGAAGAAGGCATCGGCCTGAAAGAATTGTGGCCACACTACGGCTATCAGAATCAGCCGGATCCTTCCCACGGTTCAAACGGGGCATCGCACACTTATAGTGTGGCCACCATTGGTCTCGCCCACAGAATGGAATAAAAATTGAGTCGGATGGTCAGCACGGTTCAAGGTTCCATTTTTGGGAGCGCACAGCCATTGTAACAAACGAGATCCTGACAGATCTTATCCGCTTCCATTCACCGTCGATCCAGTCTTGTTCATATTCAGCTTGTCTGGATGTGTTATTTGTGTGCCTCCATCTCGATCCGCCGGAATCAGCTGAAATCTCTGTGGAGTACATCGAGATTTCGAAGCCACTGTACATTCGTACCTGATCGTCATTCAATTCCTGGGTCTTCCTGCCATCCTCGGCGTACGTACCAGTCTACGATTCCAGATCTCAGCGCCTCCGATTCAACCAAGCACGTCGGATCCTTCGGTTCCGACACGACCGTTCTGCCGTTCTCCGACGTCCCTATTCTGCGTGCGCATTCAGTGGCGCGTGTGATGTAGATAGAAGCATGCAGAGTCATAGGAGCACGGAGCAGAACACGCGTCTACAGTTACTAGTAGGAGAGTGAGGCTAATGTATGCATCACGACACCAACCTTGCGTCTCCAGACTGAAACCACCGCTGTAACAACACACAACTCGAAGACACAAACCGTACCCGGTGATTCTTCAGCCCCTTAGCCGTCGTGGTCAGTGCCGCATGCCAAAGGGCGTGGGTACTAGCGTGGTTCGTGTTCTCCAGCTCGATTTCTTTCTGATGTTAATTTGCTTATATAACTAACAAGGTTGGAGAGATACGGACCACCCGGTAGCATAAGGTATGCATCTGCATGACTTGTAATGGTGAAGAGTGTAAGCAGAAGGTCCCCGTTCGATTCGGGGTCGGGTGATTCCTTTTTTGCTCCCTTTTTCCTCTATCTCATTTCACAAGTTCAATCATGGCCTATATAATTACCAAGTGGGAGGGATAGGAAACACCCGGTAGCACATGGTGTGCATCTGCTAAAAATCCCAGAAAAGTTTGATGAGAATTTAGCAGAAGGGTCCTCGTTCGATTCGCGGTCGGGTGATGGGGGCAGAGTGAATTCTTTTTCTAGTTTCTTTCTGATGTTAATTTGCCTATATAGCTAACAAGTTGGGAGAGTTAGGAACCACCTGATAGCATAAGGTGTGCATTTGCGTGGTTTAGATGTTGGGAGCGTTGTAAGCAGAGGGTCCCCGTTCGATTCGGGGTCGGGTGATTCCTGCTTCTCCCTTTTTCTTCTATTTCATTTTGCAAGTTCAATTATGGCCTATATAATTACCAAGTGGTAGGGGTAGAAAACACCCGGTAGCACATGGTGTGCATCTGTTAAAATTCCAAAATGGGTTGAGAAAAATTTAGCAGAAGGGTCCTCGTTCGATTCGGGGTCGGGTGATTCCTCTTTTGCCCACTACTGTATTTCTCTATTTCATTTCGCAAGCTCAATTATGACCTATATAATTACCAAGTGGGAGCGATAGGAAACACCCGGTAGCACATGGTGTGCATCTGCTAAATGGGTCAATGAGAATTTAGCAAAAGTCCTCGTTCGATTCGGGGTCGGGTGATCTATTATGTAACACCCTTTTATCGTTCGCAGGTTTGAAATTTTTTTAGCTATATAATGAACAAGTGGGAGGGTAGAGGAACTACCTGATAGCATATGGTGTGCATCTGCTGGACTTAAACCCATCGATCCATTCGTAAGCAGAGGGTTCCCGTTCGATTCGGGGTCGGGTGATTCATTGGTCTCATGGTTTTTTTTTCGTTTTTCAGTTCAGTCTACTTGCCTACGTATATAGCCAACAGGTTGGGAGGGGTAGGAAACACCCGATAGCACGAGGTGTGCATCTGCTGGACTTAGACTTGTAAATTCCCGTGTAAGCAGAGGGTCCCCGTTCGATTCGGGGTCGGGTGATATTGGTGCCAGAAGCTCATTTTTCTCGTTCGCTCTTCTTCTTATTTTTTTTTTCATTCGGTCGCGGGCTAAGATCACGCAGGGTGGGCGGGTTTGGCGTAGAGGGGGAACTTGAATAGCAGGGTAGAGGGTTTGTTTTTTACTCTATATTTGGGTACGACTACGAGCACGAGTAAGAATACGGGGAGGAGGGAAAATGGATGTAATTGAAGGGCGGAATGCGCGCGTGAGCCTACGAAAAGCGAGGGTTTAAGTTGAGTGATCGAAGTATGAGTATGAGCGTGAGCATGAGCATGGGAACCCTGATGAGAGGTGAACGTAGGCGGATAAAGGGGAAGGGAAGCGGGACGTGTAATGAATTATAATGAAGTGGGCGGGCAGTAGCTATGGCTACCGTGGTGGGGTACATAGTAGGTGCCGTCACGGCCGTGTCGATGGGAATCAGGAAAGACGCTGAGGTGGGGAATAAATAGTGCGAGTCGAGAACATGGTGGATATTGCTGGCGGGGTTGTTGGCAAGCGGGGAGGTGAGCGCTAGCGTGAATTCAAAGGGAGATTGGGATTCAGTGCATGCGCGGGATCCCACAGTGGTACTGAGAATAGACATGATATAGATGGAATTAATAGAAAGGCAGTGAGCTGGTTACGCTGAGATGTGTATCAGGCGGAGATCCACCGTGGAGCAATAGTAGCTAGCAGGAATGAAGCTTGCAGGTTCCCAGCGGTTTAACAATAGGACATTGCGACTAATAGACAGAGGCACCGAATTATCGTCGGATAAGAGTAGAGTCGACAATGTTGGCGCTTTAAAGTAGAATGCTGTTGTCGCAGATTGTCGTTTATTTAACTCGCACCGTTAGACCGTCTGTCTTCACATGAATGAGGTCAGCTGGATGGAGCTTGCATTGGAACAATTAAGTGGGTCAGGTCGGTTGAGTTGGGAAAGTGTTGGAAAAAATATTCATACCAGCCCATTCCAAGCCGATGTTTCGTCTCTGTGGTGTTCTGTACTCCTAGCCATGCACGGGGAATAGATGGGGAAGCGGGGGAAACCCTGAGTCGGGACCAATCACTAATGAAACATGACCGCGCTAGCAGAATCAATGGTCGGGACAGCCATGGCAGGAGGACCAATATTTTGACCCCATGCTCTCCCGCAGCTGTCTCTGGACCCAGTGACTACGAAAATCCACTGAAAAGTAGGTGCAACCCCGGAGATGTGTTGACATCTCTGAATATATTCCTGAATAATGTGTAAAATGCCCGAACTTTCTCAAACCTGCTCGCAAGGTCGGCGCCCTGTGTATGCAGGAGTGCCCCGACGAGAGATAGAGGTCAGGGGAGACCCCGGAGACGTCCGAGCCAGCATCAAAATTTAGGCGGGGCAAGCCGACAAACTGACAAAATGGCTTGTCCACCCAAATCCAAGCCAAAGCTAAAAAAAAAGTCATTTGGCGCAGGCGCAAGCCATTTTTGCAAGCCGAAAACATCATTCTCGGGGAAACAAGGATTGGAGAAAACAAAACGCCCTTACACGATTACCTTTCCTTAATAACAAATGAGAACAAGGGTTGCCGAAAAAAAACAATCCACACCTTCTTATTCCGAACTGCAGCATTTGACATATATGCACAGCGTGTAGTTGTTTCGAGGTATGAGCCGGCGCTGTACATGGTGAAATTGCCAAGAATCATCACTCCACAGTTGATAAAGCATCCCCAAACGCCCCTCGCTCACGAGTGGGTGTTCCAGTTGCACGTTGAAACCGATCAGATCTTTCCCACAGTTCAACCGAGCTTTCACACACCAGGACAAATAATGTGGCGACCATCGCGGCGCCCACAGATGTGTATGTGCGGCGGAAGGGAATAAATGACGCTGTGAGGCTACTAGGGCACCATCTGTGGCTCGAAGTGATGCATCTAAATCCATTACAAGACTAGTTACTGAAAATATCCAGCAAGCTCCTTGTATTCTGGAACGACCGCGGTGTAGATCTTCACACAAGCCTCCACGAATCACTCGACTGATATATTCATGTTTTCAAAAATCTTCATCAGCCCGTTGTTCGTTCGAATAGAGGTTTCTGCAAGTGAAAGTCAGCCTAGCTTATATGAAGCTGGTATATTACACAAACCAACTATCAGCCCTGGGGACAACGGCTCTAAATCTGTGTCTCGCGTCACTGGTGTAATTAAGCAATAAATCCCGGCGACTAGTTACCTTTGCTGTGCTGAGAACCCTCAGTGCAAAAGGGTTGCGTACTAGCCACAGGGCTTGTTTGTGTCGCGCCTTCACCTTGCTTGCTCGAATCTGTGTCTGAGTAGATAGGTCAGAGACACCTCAAATTTCATCGGCTGAATTACCTTCAGACTCTGAACCCTCAGTTGCGGGAATGATTTCATCCGTGCCTTCCGGCTTTCTCGACTCTGTGTCAGTGTAAATGGGTCAGTTAGATACAGTTGTTTTGCGGCTACATTACCTTCAGTCTCCTGAGAATCCGCAGTGACACACTCCGTAGTAGGCACTATTGTTTCATTTGTGCCTTCAGTCTTGCTCGACTCTTTCCGAACCAATGGGTCAGGGAATACCAAATTCGACCATGTAGATTACCTTCAATGCTCCGCAGATGAATATTAGTCAACTCCATTATCCGGTTCAGGTTCTCCGAGAAGGTTTTCAGGTTCTCACTGAATGACCCATCCGTGGAGTCCGCGTCCGAACTTTCATCCATCCCTGTGATCTGTTTGAAATTCTGGACGTATTTTGAATGGGTCTGTTTCAAGGCATCCTCGACCTCCTCGATTGAAGAATACGAGTCGAACAAGAGAGCACTTGATGGCAATGACTGTGGTGAGCAGATGCAATCCTTCTATGGGGGCTAGCAGACGTACCCTAAGAGCCCATCTCTAATGTTATTGAAAAGAGGCAACTCTTCAGGTTGGATGTGATATTCGCGCCAGGTGATTTCGACTGCTTGGGGTTCCATTTCGTGTGATGGAGAACCTCTCGCGCAGCAGACTACTTATACGGCGAGGAACAATTGCAATCACTAAAATAAATCTCTTGTGCTCATAGAACAAAGATGGCCACATCACTTGATCCCAAGAAGAAGGCATCGGCATAAAAGAATTGTGGCCATACGTAGGCCACACGGCCATCAGAATCAGCCAGATCCTTCCCACGGTTCAAACGGGACATCGCGCACTCATAGTGTGGCCACCATTGGTCTCGCCCACAGAAGGGAATGACAATTGAGTTGGATGGCCAGCACGGTTCAAGGTTCCATTTTTGGGAACGCACAGCCATTGTTACAAACGAGATCCTAACAGATCTTATCTGCTTCCATTCACCGTCGATCCAGCCTTGTTCATATTCAGTTTGTCTGGATGTGTTATTTGTGTGCCTCCATCTCGATCCGCCGGAACCAGCTGAAATCTCTGGAGTACATCGAGATCTCGAAGCCATTGCACATTCGTACCTGATCGTCATTCAATTCCTGGGTCTTCCTGCCGCCCTCGGCGTACTAGTCTACGATTCCAGATCTCAGCGCCTCCGATTCAACCAAGCGCGTCGGATCCTTTGGTTCCGACACGGCCGCCTCGCCGCTCCCCGACGCCCTCATTCTGCGTGCGCATTCAGTGATGCGTGTGATGTAGATAGAAGCGTGTAGAGTCATAGCAACAAGTGGGGAAGGCTAGGAACCACCCGGTAGCACATGATGTGCATCTGCTAAAAATGCCAGAAGGGGTCCATCAGAATTTAGTAGAAGAGTCCTCGTTCGATTCGGGGTCGGGTGATGGGGGAATATAGTGAACCCTTTTTTCTCGTTTCTTTCTGATGTTAGGCTTATATAACGAACAAATGGGAAGAGCTAGGAACCAACTCATAGCATGAGGTGTGCATCTGCTAAAAATGCCAGAATGGGTCTATGAGAATTTAGCAGAAGGTCCTCGTTCGATTCGGGGTCGAGTAATCTGGTCCGCTCTACAACATCCTTTTACTACTCCGTTCGCAGGTTTGATTTTTTTAAACTATATAACAAATAAGTGGGAAAACAGGGGAACTACCTGATAGTATATGGTGTGCATCTGCTGGACTTGTACAAATCAATCTCTTCGTAAGCAGAGGGTCCTCGCTCGATTCGGGGTCGGGTGATTCCTCTTTCTCCCTTTTTCCTCTATTTCATTCGCAAGTTCAATTATGGCCTATATAATTACCAAGTGGGAGGGATAGGAAACACCCGGTAGCACATGGTGTGCATCTGCTAAAAATTCCAGAATCGGTCCACAAGAATTTAGCAGAAGGTCCTCGTTCGATTCGGGGTCGGGTGATGATGGAAGAGTAAATTCTTTTTCTCGTTTCTTTCTGATGTTAATTTGCCTATATAACTAATAACTGGGGAGAGTTAGGAACCACCCGGTAGCACATGGCATGCATCTGCTGGACTTGTACAAATCAATCTCTTCGTAAGCAGA